GGGGGGGGGGGGGGGTAAATCATTTGCGCCGTGATACATTTACCTTTGACAAAACTATGATTCGTCTTTAGAAGACCTGGTCCGTTACGTTAGGTAAACTCAAAACAGTTACAAAATCTAACATCACTATCTTCTAGTTTTTTTTTTTAAAAAAAAATCATACGTATATATATATATATGTATATATAATTTCATACGTATCCAGGAAATTTTATAACCAATGCAATTGACTTGGACTGCCCTGACACCGACAGAAGGTTGAATTCACACTCATCACTTGCAATAATAAATTATAGCAATGTACACTCCGTGTTCATTCTCAGAAATAAATACCATTAAATAATTACCGAACACACGAATTCTCACAAAATTTCATCGTATGAATTTTATTTTTCAGAAAAAACTTTATGTTTGCTCATTTCAAAATTCGATCGTTACCTTATGTTATTGTTAGATTATATTTTCGGTATTTTATTCGTTAGAACACATAATGACCCCCTAAATTAAAATATAGACGCGTACATATATATATATATATATATGTATTTACTATATAGATAATGGGTGTGTGAAGATTAAAAGGAGAACAAAAAAGAAAAAAGACGGGGGAAAGCCTGAACGATCTTTCCTCTCTTGGGTTTGACCAACTCAACTTTCTCCTCCTTCCTCTCTTCTTCTCGTCTCTCTGTGCATATTTCTATATAATTTGCGTCTCCATTATCCAAATCCATGTTCGAATATCCTGACACGCTTCCAAGGGTTTGATCTCTCCGTTTAACTATGGGTCTGTGTTTCTCTTCCATTAGAATCAGTGGAAGCAGCAGCAATAGCAGAAGAAGCAACGCCGCCAACCAAACCAATTCCAACAATCAGAATCCCACGACAAGCAGGAACCCTAAACCTGCGGTGAAGAACAAGCATCAGCAACCGAAGGAGAACGAGAAAGCGTGCACTAAGCGGAGAAGTGGCGCGATCCCATGCGGCAAGCGTACAGATTTCGGGTACGCCAAGGATTTTCACGATCACTACACGATCGGGAAGTTGTTGGGTCACGGCCAGTTTGGCTACACCTATGTTGCTACTGACAAGGCCAATGGAGATCGAATCGCGGTTAAGAGACTCGACAAGAGTAAGGTATTGTTACTAATTATTCCCTTGAAGTTTCAGCGATTAGGGTTTGCAGATTTGCGCTTTACTGTGGGGATCCCCTTTACCTTTTCACGTCTTTTCCATGCTTCGATTGTCAATCAGAGTGTATGTATGAAGTGATTGATCCTTTTTAGTTACATTTGCTATTTTCTTTTCCTGCTTAGATTCATTCTGTCAACTCCATGGATTCATGGAAAAAAGGGTTATGATTTAGTTTTAATTGGATGCTGATACCTCTTTCTCTCTCTCTCTCTCTCTCTATCTCTCTCTCTCCAGAAAGCACTCATCACAGATTTGTTTTTTTAATCCTTTCTCTGGGACTTTGCCAACTGAATTGATTCTCCATTGTGGGTTTTGGGAATGTCACATGATTCCACTACTAGGGTTATCTGGTCGTTAGTGCTCTTGCCAAGGAAAAAATAGAATAGTTCTTCAAAACATGCTTTTGATTCAATTTCAAATTTCATTAAAAAAACTAAGCTTGTGATTCTAGACTGATCACATTGTTGTGTTGTGTCTGTTGGCAGATGGTTTATCAGATTGCTGTCGAGGATGTAAAACGAGAGGTTCAGATACTGAAAGCGCTGTCAGGCCACGAGAACGTTGTTCAGTTTTACAATGCCTTTGAGGATGAAAACTATGTGTATATAGTCATGGAGTAATTCTCCTCGACTCTTCTCATGCGTATTAGATATTTTACCCATCTTATATCTGATCCACTTCTCTCATGTTATTCACGACCTTTTCCCTTTATGGAGTGTATTAATATCTGATTCTCATTCTCTCTAGGTTGTGCGAGGGGGGAGAATTGCTGGATCGGATATTGGCCAAGTTAGCACCTTTCAGCTCTGTTTTTTCGTATTGTGATCACAAGAGACAACCTTTTGTTCAACAGCTTTGTCTATTATTTCAGGAAAGATAGTCGGTACTCTGAGAAAGATGCAGCGGTTATCGTAAGGCAGATGCTCAAAGTCGCAGCTGAATGCCATTTACACGGTTTAGTACATAGAGATATGAAGCCAGAGGTAACACTCACATTGAGCACTGATGGATATTCTGTTTCGGCTGTTTCTTGGTAATCATCTTCTGTGTTTTTCCCCTTCACTGGTGTGCAGAATTTTTTGTTCAAATCAGCAAAAGGGGACTCTCATCTGAAGGCTACTGATTTTGGTTTGTCAGACTTCATAAAACCAGGTTAGTAACATCTATCAAGTGCCATAACCGACATTTTGTTTACTTCTGTCCTGATGCTTGTTGGATATAAATATCAATACTTTCAGGTAAAAGGTTCCATGACATTGTGGGTAGTGCCTATTATGTTGCTCCCGAAGTACTGAAACGCAGATCGGGGCCTGAATCAGATGTTTGGAGCATTGGTGTAATTACATACATTTTGCTTTGCGGGAGACGCCCCTTTTGGGATAGGACAGAAGATGGTGTATTTAAGGAGGTGTAGTCCAAATATACTTTATCTAGATACTGTTGTGCTTCTCTAAGTTAGCTTGCTTTGCCTTTTATTGACTTGTAGCTGATTTTTCCCCTGTCTCTGCAGGTCTTGAGGAATAAACCTGACTTCCGTCGTAAACCATGGCCTACTATAAGTGAAAGCGCGAAAGATTTCGTGAAGAAGTTGCTCATAAAAGACCCACGAACACGACTAACTGCTGCCCAAGCCCTATGTATGTTTCTTTTTCCTTTGGCTGGGAAGAATAGTGGAACCAATCATTCTCTCATGGAACTACTCACCCATTTCCCATTTTTAACTCGATCTGAGGCTAATGTGCTTGTGTTTTCTGCCTTTTCCAGCTCATCCGTGGGTCAGAGAAGGCGGGAACGCATCTGAGATCCCTATTGACATATCTGTGCTGAACAATTTGCGTCAGTTTGTGAAGTATAGCCGGCTAAAACAATTTGCTTTGCGGGTAATTAGGTTTGAAAGCTTAAAAAATGTTGAATGGATTAAATCAAAGCAGTCAGGATGTTTCGCTAAATGTTGAATATCCTGTTATTTCAGGCTCTTGCTAGTACAATTGATGAGGCAGAGATTGCTGACCTCAGGGATCAGTTTGATGCAATTGATGTGGACAAAAATGGTGTAATCAGCCTTGAAGAGATGAGACAGGCAAAGTTCATGTCTTTTGTTTACCCAAGAATCTGTAATAAAATCTCATATGAGGATAGTTGATCTTTTTTGCAGGCACTTGCTAAAGATCTTCCTTGGAAACTGAAGGATTCTCGAGTCATAGAGATTCTTCAAGCGGTGTGTAGTGATTTAGTTTCCATTCCGCTTCATCTCTCATGTCTCTAAGACTGTTTTCATATTTTGGATCATTTGATGTTTTTTGGCTGCCCCTTGGTTCTTGATGCAGATTGATAGCAACACCGACGGGTTAGTGGATTTCTCAGAGTTTGTTGCAGCCGCACTACACGTTCATCAACTGGAGGAACATGACTCTGAGAAATGGCAGCTAAGATCACGGGCTGCTTTCGAGAAGTTTGACCTTGACAAAGATGGCTACATAACACCAGAGGAACTTAGACTGGTAACCTAACCATCTCTCTCCTTGCTTTTGCTTAATACAACCATTGAAAGAAACGGAAAGTGACCAGCGAAGTTTTGGTTGATACTTGAATTGAAATTTGAGGGGAGAATAAATAAGCTGTATCATACTGTTTTATTGCATGATGTGTGTGGAAAAATAAAAATTTTGGCATGGTAATGCAGCACACTGGATTAAGAGGGTCCATAGACCCACTTCTGGAAGAAGCAGACATCGACAGAGACGGGAAGATAAGCCTGCAAGAGTTCAGGAGACTTCTAAGGACGGCGAGCATTAGTTCGCAGCAAGTTCCGAGCCCATCCACCCATCAAAATCTTCGCAAGTAAATTATTATTTACTGGCTGTATTTTTTTACAAGATACGTATAGCAAGAGATGAGAGAGGGAGAAGGACCCAGATTTCAGCCTTCTGACCTGCAAATCCCCTACCATGAGATTCATGGACTAAGGTTAAGGTTAGTCTCCTCTCCTTGCATTTGGGATTTTCAGGGGAAAGATGTTAAAAAGAAAATGTAAGAATACAATGAAGTGAAGCTGGAGGGTGATTGTTATGTATTGATATATGTCGCGGTATGCAAAAGGGGAACGATCAGTGTGTTGTGTAGTTGTAAGTTTTGTTTTTTTACCGAGTGTGGTGAAAATGAAAGATGAGTTCGTAATACTGAATGAGCTTACACTCGGGGAAGAGAAAGCACCTCTTTTGTTTTTTTTTTTTTGGTTATAAACCTCTTCTTGACGCCATGGTTTCCGGCGGTCAAGCTCACACGGCGGGTGACTAGAACAAAAGTCTCTGGACAGCGTTACACGTGGCGCTCCCTCATTCGAGCACCTAAATATGTCTGGTCTTGTATTTTTTGTATTCTATATCTTTGCTTTACAGCCATGAGAAGAAGCAAAGCCGTTGATGGTTGGGTGGGTGGCCACTCTGACTCTATAGTATCCGCCACCTCTTTTTGTTCCTCCCGTATTTTGTTCTTTTCCCCAACCAACGTACTCATTCAAATTTTACTTTATATATATATATATTATTTGGTTGATTTGCCAGCTACGACGGCATGAGTTGTGGCTCTACGCCAACACATGTCCGTATTGGTGCAGAGACGTACGGACCTACCCTGCCTCCCCTCCAATGTCCTTGATGAAAAACTATGCTCCATGTTATGTCGAAAAACAAACGCACACATTAATGTTTAGAAATGCTTTTGCCCTATAATTAAACTACCATATTCAACAAATTTATATACGTCTAAGCACGTGGACTCCCGTTAAGGTGTATTAAACACCCATCTATCACTTTTGTCTCGTTTCCAAATCTTTGTCTTTTGGTTCACATTATTTTTTTGGGGCACACATAAATTCAACCGTATCTTTTTAAATTTTAGTAATCACATAATTCACTCCATGTATCCCTTGTAATAATATATCCAAATATAAAAATGACTTATTCTTTTAATCATGCCGCGTTTGACCTTTCTCAGTTAACAAAAAAAAAAAAAAGCACCATTCGTCCGCCATGGCTGAGTCCTTTGTTCCCCTAATCAAACATTTATTTATCCATTATTATCTAGACGCTTGGAATTCATAAACCCATTTGAAAGTTCCTTCCTTTTTTTTCTTTTCCCCTTCTTTCCTATCTCATCTCGCCACTCGTCTGATCTCCGCCGATCGTTTCCATGGCGGATATAGTAAAGCAAACTGTCGACAAGCCGATCCAACTGGCTGACCAGGTGGTCAAATCCGCCGACGAGGCTAGCTCCTTCAAGCAGGAGTGCGCCGAGCTCAAGGCCAAGACCGAGAAGCTCGCTGGGCTTCTCCGCCAGGCTGCGCGGGCCAGCTCCAACCTCTACGAGCGGCCGACTCGTCGGATCATCGACGACACCGAGCAGGTACTCGACAAGGCTCTCTCGCTGGCCCACAAATGCCGAGCCAACGGCGTGATGAAGCGCGTCTTCACCATCATCCCCGCCGCGGCGTTCCGGAAGATGCACGCCCAGCTCGAGAACTCGATCGGCGATGTCTCATGGCTCCTCCGCGTCTCCGCCGCGGCAGAGGACAGAGGCGACGCCGGGTACCTGGGTCTTCCCCCGATCGCTGCCAACGAGCCCATCCTGTGCCTGATCTGGGAGCAGATCGCCCATCCTTGTCCTGATCTGGGAGCAGATCGCAATTCTCTACCCCGGCTCGCTGGAGGACCGGTCAGACGCCGCCGCATCGCTCGTGTCGCTGGCGCGTGACAACGACCGCTACGGGAAGCTCATAATCGAGGAAGGAGGCGTGGTCCCTCTGCTGAAGCTGCTCAAGGAGGGGAAGCCGGAGGGGCAAGAAAACGCGGCGCGTGCACTCGGTTTGCTGGGTCGTGACCCGGAGAGCGTGGAGCACATGATCCACGGCGGCGCGTGTTCTGTTCTCGCCAAGGTTCTCAAGGAAGGGCCGATGAAGGTGCAAGCGGTGGTGGCTTGGGCCACGTCGGAGCTGGTGGCGAACCATCCCAAGTGCCAGGACGTGTTCGCTCAGCACCACGTCACTCGTCTTCTAGTCGGCCACTTGGCCTTCGAGACGATTCAAGAGCACAGCAAATACGCCATTACCACCGGTAAACCCACTTCTATCCATCACGCGGTTGTTCTCGCCACGGAAAACCCTAATTCCGCCGCCAACAAGGCCACCGAGGAGGATCAGAGCCCCATTCCCCACCCGACGGCCAAGCATATGTCGAATCAGATGCACAATGTCGTGGTCAACACCATGGCGATGAAGACGGCTAACGGCGTCAAAGTCAATCAGACCAACGGCGTTAAGCCCAGTCACCATCTCAACAACCACCACCACCACCAGAATCAGGGTGGCGCCGGGAAGGTTCGAGAGCTCGAAGACCCGGCGACCAAGTCGGAGATGAAGGCCATGGCGGCCAGAGCGCTGTGGAAGCTGGCGAAGGGCAATTCAGCGATCTGCAAAAGCATCACCGAGTCGAGAGCTCTCTTGTGCTTCGCTGTTCTGTTAGAAAAGGGCAGCGAAGATGTGAGATACAACTCCGCTATGGCGTTGATGGAGATCACGGCCGTGGCCGAGCAAGACGCCGACCTGAGGCACTCGGCGTTCAAGCCCAACTCGCCGGCGTGCAAGTCCGTCGTCGATCAAATGCTTAAAATCATAGAAAATGGCGATCCTGATCTGCTCATCCCGTGCATCAAATCTGTCGGGAACCTCGCGAGAACATTCAGAGCGACAGAAACGCGGATGATTGGGCCTCTGGTGAAGCTTCTGGACGATCGAGAGGCCGAAATCTCTCGGGAAGCGGCCATTGCGCTGACGAATTTTGCCGGGACAGGGAATTACTTGCACAAAGATCATTCGAGGGCAATTATAGAGGCAGGAGGAGGGAAGCATCTGGTTCAGCTGTCGTACTTCGGGGAGAGCGTGGTCCAGATTCCGGCATTGGAGCTTCTGTGTTACATAGCGATGAACGTTCCCGACAGCGAACAGCTGGCAAAGGACGAGGTCTTGACAGTGTTGGAATGGGCGTCGAAGCAGTCATGTGTTTGTCAGCTCGAGAGCTTGGAGAGTCTGTTGCTTGAAGCTAAGAGCAGACTCGAGCTCTATCAGTCGAGAGGATCCAGGGGTTTCCATTGATGTCTGTTTCGAATTCTTTTTTATTTATTTATTATGATTTTGATGGAATCTTGAATCCTCAATCTTTGTGCAGAGGAAGAGCCAAAAAGGCCGGAGCTTTTTTTTTGTTATTGTTCGTCAGATCTCGGAGAAAGTATCAAAAAATATCGTTTGTTGGTTTCCAAGAAACTCTCTGTTGGTTTGCTCGCCAAGAACCTCCACATCAGAAGGAGGGTTCCCTAAGGAAGGCCCATTGGCCCAAAACTCAGACCTTGTTACTCGAACTGGGCTCCTTAACACATGATGAATCCATGGTTTGTAAAGTCGGCCCACGTTTCTCGCTATTGGGTTGTTGGATTTTTTTTTTTTATAAAAAAAACTCCATATTTCAGGTTTTATTGAAAAATAGCAAATTATCCAGAAAAAAAAATGGCCGCGCAAAACTAAAAATAAGATTTGTCAACCGTGCGAATGTAAAATATGAATTGAGCGCACAGATTTTTTATTTTTTATTTTTAATTAAATGTTAGAGAATGTATCTTTTTATTCGCAGTAGTGTGTTTGATGGAAGAGGTTCGTACATTAATTTCCGTCTGCTGGTTGTGGCTGCTCCACGTGGACCGGCAACATTTTGTTCACCCATGCCAAGTAGCCACCTCCCACGTTGCTTGCTTTCTTGTAACCCTATAACATGATATATGCATATATATATATATATATCGGTATATATGCATGCATATATACGTGTCTGTATGTTTTACATAGCGAGAGAGAGAGAGAGAACTTACAGCAGCCATAAGGTCAGTTGTAGCATCCAAGGATCTAACTCCACTCCGACATCCCTATATATATATATATATATATATATCGGAAATGGAAAACGAATATATAATGAAAAAAGATTATGAGAAGTGATATCAATAAATTGAGTGTTACCCAAAGTCAAAAAGCCTTTTTTTTATATATATTATTATTACTTTTTTTTATAATCCAAAAGTTTATCAGTTTTTTTATTATTGTTAATAAGGAAAAAAAATGCTTACTACTAAAATATCATCGGTTTGGTTGAGCAGAGAAGAAACTTGGTTCAAGAAATCCGGGTTCTTCTCTCTACCTGAAATATTATTCAACCATATCCATATATATATATATACACACACACGATCGTTGATTGAAAATAATGGACCATTATCCAACTATATATATATATATATATATTTGAGATGAATCATTGATAATTGGATTGGGGGAGTTTTACCGTGAGGAGTGTCGAACATGTACGGAACGTTGAAGATCTTGTCCTTAGGTGCAAGACAGTGACCACTTCCGAACTCCTCCTCGGTCCTTTACACCACGTATACCACATCAAATATTCCATTCTATTATCCGGACATCGATATATAACATACGAAGAATATATACACACACACACATATATATACATATGCATATATATAGGATATGTGCTCACCTCACATCAAGATAAACATGGCCGGCAGCTTCGAGGAGATTCTTGGCTTCGGTCACATCGACGGTGACAACTTCTGAACCTGATCTGCTCATGCATGCAAAATTAACATTACGTTATCCGATCAATATATATGTGTATGTGGACAAATATATATGCGCCATGAAAGATTTAAGGAAGAGAGATGAGGAAGAACATCAGTTCACCTCATGTCTTTAGAACCCATGAAAAACGAGGGATCTTCTCTCTACCTTTGTTCATAAAAAAAAAAGGTGATGAGAGAGATCGGTTACCCAAATAAAGATTTTATTTTTTTGGTAAATCCAAATAAAGATTTTCTTTTATCCTTTATTAGTTTATTGGGGCGGTAAAGAGATTTTTTTTTTCAAATACGGCAAACAACCAATTAAATCATACGATTCTTTCCCCAACTAGAGGAAGGGGGTGGTTAGGCGATACAAAAATTTATGGTATCGATATATATATAAAAAGATCATGGTGATAAGATTTGCTAAATTTTGATTGGATGCATTTACTTTGTACAATAGAATTATGGATAAATAGATGGATAGATAATTAATTGGGATATGTGAGATTAATTTAGAGAGATGGAACCATATCGACTCCCATGCTATTGGATAAAGCCTTATCATTGTCATTTAGTTGAAGAAACTCGTGACGAGATAAACGTTTTTCTTCTTGTTTCAACGGTTAAATTATTCAAGTTGGGTATTGTCATTTATTTTTACTTGCAAGTTTCTGATTTTGAAAAAAAAAAGAACGTTTATTGATCGAGGATTTGTTCCAAATGGCCAAAATTTATCAGAAAGTCCGATAAAGATTAAAGGGCCTTAATTGAAAATTGTCCAAAGTAAGATGCAAATGTGTCATTTTCTGATTGGTCAAAAAATATCAATGATTTCCATCACATTAGGAGACGAATTTAACGGCAAAGAAGTCCCCTAATGCAAGAAGACCTCGATCCTTCTTTAAACCTCATCGAGAATCTTGGTCTTCAATTTCACTCTGCAACATTACCTCTGATTCCTCACATCTTCGTCTTTCCCTTGGGAAGGTACTCCTCTTACATTTGATCATGGTGCTCGAGATAGGCTGCTCAATTCTCTCTTGAATGCGAATTAGGGTTTTTTTTCCTCTGTTTTATTGTCTTTGCGTTTTGCTTGTTTGGTCATTTGATCTGGAATTTGCTCGTCAGGCGACGATGATATGTGTCGATAACACCGAGTGGATGCGGAATGGAGATTATGCTCCATCGAGATCCAAGCTCAAGCCGACAACGTTAATCTCATATGTGAAGCTAAAACCCAGGTTCATCATTGTTTCTGACTCTAATCCAGCCTGCTCATCGTTGGTATTTTTTGTGTTTAGTCTCAGAGACTGCGTATGAATGAAGTTCTTAGCAACATTCGAGCTGGGTTTTTCTTACAAAACTTGAATCCAGAATTCTTATTAGACGGGCGCTGATTATGGTTCATTCCCATTTTCGCGTTGGAAGTGTAAATAGTTGGCATCTTCAAGATTTTCTAATATCGTTGTATATTTTCAGTGTTTTCGGCGATCGAAGCTTTGCGCCGATGGATGCGAGTTTTCTATTTACAGTCAAATGATCTGAAGAGTACGATTGGAATTCTAACAATGGCGGGGAAAGGGGTTCATGTTTTGGTTACACGCCAACCTGTGATCTTGGAAAGATCTTAGCGTGCATGAAAGGTTCGTTTCTTCGCCTTTACGATTCATACTTCTTACTTTTTAGCTATCTTATTTCCTTGTTGAGGCCTAAGTTATCTGATGTTTTGAGGGAATGTTGCTCTTTTCATATGATTAGGATATGTCGGTGACCCGATAAACTTATTATCTCGATGGAAGTTGGGTGAAAACAGAAAGCAGAATTGTTCATTAAAGAAATTACGAGGATTTCTCCTCGAGTTTTTCTGTTACGCCCTTCTTGACCAAAGTTCTGCAAAGGATCTTTGATTTTCTATTTTTTTTACTCGATATAGGTCTAAAAATTGGAGGTGAGATGAACCTTGCAGCTGCGATCCAGGTGGCCCAGCTGGCTCTTAAGCACCGACGAAACAACAACCAACAGCAAAGGATTACTGTCTTTATTAGGAGGTTAGTTTCTGTGACTTATAGTGAGTCTTTTCCCAAATTTTCTTGGTGTAACAGCCCTGTCAAACACGACAAAAAACAATTAGAGATAATCAGAAGAAAATTGAAGAAGAATAGTGTCGCACTTGATATTGTTACCTTTGGCTAAGATGACTAAGGAACGACGGAAAAACTTCAGGCACTTATTGTTGTTGTTAACAATGAATCAATGATGATACTAGCCACACTGTCCATGTCCGTCTTGGTTGCTATGCTCTCTCTGATACTCCTCAGTAAAATCTTTATACCTTGTTTCCCTATCTTCCTCTATATGCTGGAATGGTTGAATTATCTGTTTTGGTTTACTGGCTTCCTTTCTCCTTTATCAGCACACCAATCTTCACCAGGGATGGTTTCTTTGCTGCAGCAGCTGCTCCCGTTGCAAGTATATCTGGGTTTGAGTTTGGGGTGGATCCAAACCTTGACCATAAACTTGCTCTTGCATTGAGAGTTTCAATAAAAGGGAAGAAGTCTAGGCAAGAAGTAGCTGCAAAAAAGGCTGCCGAGGAGGCTGCTAAGCAAGAAAAAGGCGGAGAACAATCGAACTCACTGGATGCAACTATGGCTGATTTCACTTCGACACTAAGAAAATTGACTTACTGGTTAGTTTCTTCTCATACTTTGGTAGTAGCACTGGAAGAGGTGCCACAAAGATAATGGCTGAAATAATTCCTTTCTTCTAAAGGCTACCCTTTATGGCATAGTTTAAGATTTTGGAGTTGCTAACTTGAAGTATGAATTTTCTACAAGTTTTGACTCCATAAGAGGTGGATCAAACTGGTGAATTTACTCTTCCTTTGTGCATCAACCAATGCTACACCCTATCTCTGGCAGGACAAAGAAAATCCTTTGCTGCAACAAGCCTTTCAAATGTCCATGAACGAGAGTCCTTATGGCGACGGTGTACAAGACACCGATATGTCAAATGCTGCTGTTGATATTACTGACTTAGAATTAGTCGAGTCACATCATTTCTGGCAAAGATCTTGGACTTCCTGTTATGTTTTTCCATGATATGTCTTTCTCGTTTATGCACCGCTAAGCTCAAACTCTGTCGTCATGCAGCTCTGCAGTTGTCAGTGCAAGAAAATTTAGACTCATCTGACCGATCATCCGATATGGGCAAACTATTGGCAGATCAGTCCTTTGTGTCCTTGATCCTTGCATCGGTATACATGAGTCACATCGTTTTTCTTGGCTTCAAGGTTAAGAAGATGAAAAAACAACTTGTTAATATAAATAAGGGTTCTGCGTTTTTGCAGCTTCTTGGGGTTGATCCAAACGACGCTTCCATAAAGGATTTGCTCGCCTCAATGTAAAATCAGCAGTCTGAGGTCGGTAGTGACTAAAAGCTAATAAGCTGAATTGGGCATGGATATAGGCAATTCATGACCGGAAATTTGGCCTAAACATGTTTGTTTGTAGAACCAAGACAAGAAGGACGAGCAAAAGGGACAAAACGAGCGCTTAAGTGAAAAACACTGATGTGAGTTCACTATGATCCCCAGGTACTAATCTCCCGATCATTATTCTATTCCTTGTCTCTTTTTATAAATTTTGGGACAACTGTCTACATACCATCCCTCCCGAGATAGAGAGATTCTGTTTCTATAGGAACTAAGAAAAAAAAATGGAGTGTTAATTGAGACACTGGGGTTTGGACAGGTTTTGGGAGCTCGGTCCACAAGTCGCAATATTATTTTGTTAAGGTTTGGATTTTGATGCCAGAAGTATATAAATGTATGGCAAATTGTGTATTTTGTGAAAAATTTTAAACATCATTCAATGATTCATGTTTGATGCTCAATGCCAATGATTTTTTTGTTTTTCTTTTTGGAGCAAAAAAAATACAAATTGTATTTTAAGGAATTCTATCGGGGCCAAATTTTGTTAGCAATCTTATACTGATATTGATAAACTGCTGTTATGTTTGTATTTGTGAACCGTACAGTTGCGACCGTTGAAAACGCGGGAGAACAACGATTTAGTGGGAGGCCTCCACGTGTCCCCTTGAAACCCATCACTATTTTCTCGATTTTCTCCATTTTCATTTTTGTTTTCTCTCTTGTGTAACCATGAATCCTCCTCACGAAGAAGACCGCCAGAAAAAGACACCGTTGTACCCTGAGATCGATCAATCAATCCCCAATAACCCATTTTATCCAGCAAACCCTAATCCATCTTCTTCCGCTAACAATCTCTTTCCCCAATACGGATGCCCTGTCGACGCCCATTCTCCATCGGCGCCACCAGAGGCGACGGAGGAGATCCTGATCCGTGTCGGCGGTGCCATTCTCAACCTTATCGACAAATCCTACAGCGTAGAGCTCGCCTGCGGAGATCTCACCGTCGTTCGCATTGTCCAGGGTCAGAACATCGTCGCCGTTCTCGCTTGCGTCGCCGATGAGATCCAGTGGCCGCTAACCAAGACGGAGGTCGCGACCAAGGTGGACAGATCGCATTATTTCTTCTCCCTCCGACCACCAAAAGAACCGGGGTCAGATTCTGAAAACGAGGATGAAATTCTGAATTACGGGCTGACGATTGTGTCGAAAGGGCAGGAGAAATTGATGGAGGAACTGGAACGGATTCTGACGGAGTATTGCTGTTACACGGAACAGAGAATGTCTGAGAAGGCGAAGGAGAAGGGAGAGGAAGTACTGAGCAATGCAATGGTGGTGGGGACTTCGCCTGAGGAACTGAAGGGTGAAAAGAAGGAAGCTGTGGAGGGTCAATGCGCTGCCTACTGGACCACTCTGGCTCCAAACGTCGAGGAATATAGCGGAAGGACCGCTCAGTTGATAGCAACGGGGTCTGGTCAGCTGATCAGAGGGATCCTCTGGTGTGGGGATGTGACTATGGAGAGGATCAAGAGAGGGAACGACGTTCTCAAAAACAGGCTGAGTCGTGCTGAGAAGGAGAAGGAGATTAGCCCCGACACCCTCAGGAGAATCCAGAGGTATCTATATATATCTAAATCACTCAAGGTTTGGTTCATATTGAATGGACAGGTTTTTATAGAGTTGCTGATATGTTTTTGAGGATAATAGGGTGAAGAGAGTGACGAAAATGACAGAGAAAGTGGCAAATGGGGTTCTGTCTGGTGTAGTCAAAGTGTCGGGATTTTTCACCAGTTCAGTGGCCAACTCAAAAGCAGGCAAGAAGTTTTTCGGCCTCTTGCCTGGAGAGATCGTTCTCGCCTCCCTCGATGGATTTGGTAAGTGAACTCTTGAGGAATCATGGCTTGAGAATTCAAAGTGTTTTGGGAGTAATTGGGTATTCTTGATCGAAACTCAGACTAATCCTAGAGATCGGGGAAGTTCATGTAGATGCGTCTCTCCAAACTTGAGGGTTCTAACTCGGTGGGACAGAGAATAAAATCTTCTCATTTCACCCATTGAACTAACCAAGTTTGGGTCTTGAGAATTCAAAGTTGTTAGACTCAGTCCGGCTGTCAGTGTTCTTTCTTTGTGGAGAGCGATCTTCTCTTCCATCTTTCATCTGTTTCTCTTTTGAATATATTATATAACCTCCTCCAACGCATAACTGACTTGGTATAACCGGTACTTATTACAGGCATTAACCTTGTCTTCTCTGTTTCTTTTTTAATTTATTACATGTTTTAATTTGTAATAGGCAAGATCTGTGATGCTGTGGAAGTGGCTGGAAAAAACGTCATGTCTACTTCATCAACTGTCACAACCGAGCTTGTTGATCACAGGTAGTATGCTTCACAAACTTATCAGCGATTGTAATGGCAGTGTAAACTGGTACTTTTCTTTTGCATGTATCATATAAATGTGAAGCTTTTCTACTCAGAAATAGGATCATCTGCCTAATATTTTACAAATCAAGCGGACCCTTTAGACAATGAATGACAGGTATGGTTCGAAAGCAGCCGAGGCGACAAACGAAGGGATAGAAGCAGCGGGGCATGCGTTAGGGACTGCGTGGGTTGCTTTCAAAATCCGGAAGGCACTTAATCCTAAATCTGCCCTGAAACCTTCATCTCTGGTCAGGTCGGCCGCTTCTGATATCAAGTCTAAGACAGTTTCCAAGTAGATTCTCTCATCTGCTTCTTACTACTGTAATAATACCCCCTTACATTATTTTTACATCTTTATCATTTAGTTTAGTCTCCTCCATCATCAGTTTCTGCTCACACATTAATGTATTTGTCTCACTAATACCCTTTGTTCTTCTTCCGACCATTTTCTCACATGCAATGAATTCACAAGTTTCAAGATGCAACGAGCAGAATGAATAAAGAATTCATACATTTGACCCCAAAGAAATTTGAGACTCAGGTGAAGTTCAACTTCAAGTTTTTGTTGTTTTTGTCTTTCCTTTCAGTACCAGACGTCCCTTAAATTGATCAGGATGCAAACTTATGTCATAATGCTGAGTTAATTAATAATGTTGGAGACCGATACCCATCACAAACGGGCCTATTGGGCTTACTAAGCCCATTTAGCTTATCTGAGTTGGGAGTTAGCATGGACCCGACCACAGATGATTCCAACCCAACTGGGCATTTGGTTTGGCTTGTTGCCTAAGTTCGAATATTACGAATTCGCCTTTTTTACTGTTAACAAATCGTAAGAGAGAGAAGAAAAAACCTCGAAACCCAGAGAGAGTGGGAGAGAGAGAGAGGAAGACGAAGAAGAAGGGAAGGGAGAAAGGTAAGAGATGGCGAGATATGATCGAGCAATCACCGTGTTTTCCCCCGACGGCCACCTCTTCCAGGTAGAGTACGCCCTCGAAGCCGTTCGTAAGGGTAACGCCGCCGTCGGAGTTCGTGGCTCCGACACCATCGTCCTTGCTGTCGAGAAGAAATCCACCCCCAAGCTCCAGGATTCCAGGTATCTTTTCGATCTGTGCTCAAACTAGTTTTCCTCTGTCAGATTTTGTTTATATGTGTTGATTTTCCGTTTTTTTTTTATTTGGGTCTTAGCTTGACCTAGATCGCACGATTTAGTTCTATTACGTCTTGACTGATCGATTTTGATAACCCCTCCCTAATCAAATTCTGATGTTTAGTTTCTGTTTATGTTTGTAATTAGGGAATCTCTTAAGTGATTTGGAATTAGAACCCTAGTGCAAGCATTTCTTCTACGAGTATGGAAAGGGAACCTTGATTCAATATTTTAGTAAAGATAGAGCATTCCTGCTG